CGCCCACCGCATCCATTACCCATTTTGGCACACCCGTCGCATGCTTCGTGGCCCCATAAGAGAGCTCCACGGACGGCCCTAGTGACTGCGTTCGCATGTGCCCACCGCACCCTTTTGGCATACTCCTAGCACGTTTCGTGGCCCATGGGGAGCTCCACCGACGGTCCCAGTGGCATTTTTGTATACTCGTCGTACGCTTCGTGGCCACTTGGGAGCTCGTCCGAGCGCGGTGCACACAACGACGGTGCTCGCAGCTGCATTTAATTGGGCCTGTCGCCAGGCTAAGTACATGGGTTCCTTTCGCCCGTGAGCCAAAGTCATTCTCTTTTACATGGGTTCCTCTTCGCCCGTGAGCCAAAACCATGAACATTCACATGGGCTCTTTTCGCCCGTGATCCAGCATTGTTTCGGTTTGTTTTGATGTAGTTTGTCGTGTTTCGCTTCGCCGCGTCTCGGTCTGTCCGTTCACCGTGCGTCTCGCCTCGGCTCGGATTCGCCCCGTCTTGATTCGTTATGTTTCGGAGTTGAATCCGATCTTAGATTAGAGCTGGTCGAGCGCCCCGCCCGCTTCGATTGCAACCAGCTCTGGGCGAGCTATGCGTTCAGGCAGATCGAGCTTAAGACCCGTATCACTTCGGTCCGGACTCGCATGCCAAGGACGACTGAATCCACAGCGCCGTATAGCACAGGTCAGGTCACCGCACAGCCCTCGGCCCTGTATATACGAGCATCGATACCCTCTTATCGCTGCAAGCGCCCGTCGCCCAGTCACGTGGGTGTCCTGAAAATGCTCTCACGCCTACAGCGCAGACCCACGCCAAGAAACACCCTGCTTGCCTCTTCGGATCTGATCGATTCTGGGATCTGATGGTTCTGTTATGGAGAAGGAGGCAGATGAGGAAGAGGAGGAGGAGGAAGGAGGAGGGAGGAGGAGGGAAGGAGGAGGGAAGAGGAGAAGGAGGCAGATGAGGAAGAGGAAGAGGGTGCCCTGGGGCTCTTGGGATCTGCTGGTTCTGTTATGGAGAGCGCGACGAGCCCACGCCAAGAACCAGTGGACGCCCTGGGGCCTCAGGGTTATCGTGATACGGGCCGGCTGTAGCACCTCTACACCTTAGGCGATGCTTAAGAAAACCCACGTTTTCGGCCAGAGTCTCGATTATTCTTAATGTTTCAATGCAAATCCTAAGATTTGAATAGAAATGTTTGGTTTTTGTTCAAGTTCTGAGACTATGAATTTCTGAACCCATGATTTCTTAAGCATTTCGCAGGGTGTACATTCCTTTCCTGGTGCGTGGGTCGATCATGCTCCACGACGCGGGGGGGGATCCTGGCCCCTCGGGCCACGGCTCTCGGGCCTCCAGAGGCCGTGCGCGCCCCCCAGGAGTGCGTTCGGCGGGGCCTCCGCTGCTGCTAGCAGGCGTTCGGAGGCGAGCAAACTTGCAGGAGCCAGCGAGTTCGGTGGCAAGTCATGTCGGGCGAAGAGAATTATGCACATGCACCGATCCTGGCAAGGCCCATCTTTGACCCAGGATCGGTGCATATGCCTTCCTGGCCAAGGTAGGAGGGCGTATGCACCGATCCTGGGCTCAGGATGGGCCTGGCCAGAATCGGTGCATGTGCATAGTTCTTTTTCCTCTATCATGGGGGCCCTGTGTACCCTCGCAATTCCGTCTTCAGCGTCGACTGGTGTCGATTAGCGCCTGGGAATCGATGAGACAGCGCCTTCTTAGCGTCGGCTAGCGTCGATGAGCGTCGATGTAGCGTCAATTAGCGTCGATTCAGCGTCGATTCGCAAGAGCCGACAAGATGTTATGGGCGGCTCCCATGAGTTGCCATGGAAAGCGAACATGTTTTAACGCACGAAGCGGCGAGAAAACTTGTCCTCCCATCTTGAAGGAGGCACGGTGGCGGGTGATGCTCTTGCGACGCGAGCTTTCGAGTCGGACGGGATGAGCTGGAAAAGGGAAAGGGGCGGGACGTGGAAAAGGGCTTTCTTGCGACGCGGAAAAGGGCGAGGTATGAAGTCTGTGGGATGTGTCACCACCCACCAAATAACCCCAACCCAACCCGCGCCCCAATATTTCCATCGTCAATCTGGTCGATCTCCATCGAGTCGCTGTCTCTGCGCACTGGCGCCCAACGTGTTCTTCCACGCTTAATCCTCGCGATCGATGGAGAATTCGATGCGAGGGCAGATTTGGCGAAGAATTTCCGGTGCCTCGAAGCTATTATGTCGCCAATCGTTGAACCAATCACCAGCGCGGGCCACGATGATCCTCGGCGCAGCGACTCTGACTGGCAATGGCAACGAATGCACATGCCAATACTTCCACAGAGACCCTATCAGCGCAACCCACAGTTCAAGCTGGGTCGCAACATCGTTCGCCCATTGGGTCATTGTTAAAGTTCGCGAAGGCCTCAATTTGCCCTCCATTTCCAGTGGGGGGGGGGTCGGGGAATATTGAAAAAGCACATGGAGCCCGTACCCCCCCAGCCCGAAATTCGGGTCAAGTTCGGGCCTTCGGGTTGGGCTGGGGTGGTCTGGTAGTCAGTGTGGTTTATCTCGGCTACGCCAGGACTCTTCCCCGGCACACTTGCGCCTCCCGCGCTGGGGGGCGCCAGCAGAACCAGCCGCGCGAGCCGGTGCGCCCCCTGGGCCCGAACAGGCAACCCAGGGCAGGGGAGGCGACCCCCCCCCCCGAGGATCCCCCGCTTTTCATCCGGAGGCGGACAGACCTCCTGCCCTGACACGTCGATTAAGGCATTGGCCGTTTTCCGTTCGCGAGAGGGCGTCGCGGCCGTCATTTTTGCGGGTCCAGGTCCGTCGGTTTCGGTCACCGCCGATTTAACGGGGAGACAGAAAGGTACATATACTGCCACGGTGGCGGCTCATGCCAAGAAACACCTTGCTTGTCTCCAGGGTTCCCTGGGTTTCCTGGGTTTCGGTGGTTTTGCTGTGGAAGGCGTGACGCTCCCACACCAAAAATCAGTGGACGTCCCGGGGTGTCAGGGTTGTGTCTCTTGTGGAAGGTTTCTTGTGGTCGGGCCCTTACTGGACTCCCTGGACCTCTCCTTGCGTGCGTTCTGACCAGACGTCCGAGCCCCCAAATGGCGAAAACGAGGGAAGGGTAGCGGTATAGGTACCCTTTCCTTCTCCGATGTCGTCCCACCCGACAGTCCAGAGCAGGTGGCGAGAGGCCTGCGCGCTCGGCAGCGGGGGTGTGCTATCAACGAGGAGGGGAGCGAAGGTGGCAGGAAGGTGGCCCGGAAGGGGCGCCTGGCGGCCTTTGAAGATGCGAGGAAGGTGCGCGCTCTTTCACCACCCATGGATTCCCCCCGCCCTCCGACATGTTTCTCCCGATCCGCGGCCCCGCAGGGCTCCCGAACCCTTCCCCGGGGGAAGGTTCGCGTCCCGGATCCGTGCTTGATGCTTCTCGGTCCCGAGAACTCGCTCCCCGGGGACCGAAATTAAGGACAACGCCGCGATTGGAACCTAGCCCTTTATGTACATGTTCCGGCTATAAACAGGACCGCTCAGTACACAAGACTGAGGGGTCTGCAGTCCCCCTCTACGCTTCGCCGAAGGACGTCTGACCGAAACACTTTCCCCACTCACCCACGCATTCTCGCCGCTCAAATCGCAAACGGGGGGGCACGAAGAGTTTCAGAGTGTGCCGAAGTTGGGCGGGGCGACGCTATGCGAACGCAACCACTGGAACGTTCGGTTGAGCTCCCAGTGCGGCCACGAAACATGTAAGGAGTCTACCGAAATGGGTCGAGGCGCCATGTGAACGCAGCCACTGGGGCCTTCGGTGGAGCTGCCTATGGGGCCACGAAACGTGTGAGCGGTCTGCCGACATGGGGCGGGTTACCCTGCGAACCCAGGCACTGGGGCCTGTGAGGCCACGAAACGTGTACGGGGTCTGCCAGACTGGGGCGGGTCACCATGTGAACCCAGTCATTGGAACCTTCGATGGAGCTCCCAATGGGTCCACGAAACGTGTGAGCGGCGCGCTGGCATTGGGTGGGTAATCATGCGGTTTCTGCCACTATGTCCTTCGGCGGAGCTCCCTATGTGGCCACGAAGCGTGTGAGGGGTGCGCCGAAATTGGGCGGGTAACCAGGCGGACCATGCAACTGCGGGGCCACGAAGCGTGTGCGGGGTGCTGCTTCTGCCAATAAGTCCTTCCGTGGAGCGCACTGTGGCCACAAGCGTTTGAGGGGTGTGCCGAAACGGACATGCGGAAGGCAGAGAGGAGGAGGAGGAGGAGGAGGAGGAGGAGGAGGAGGAGGAGCAGGAGGAGGAGGATGAGGGAGGAGGAGGAGGAGGAGGAGGAGAGGAGGAGGAGGAGGAGGAGGAGCAGGAGGAGGAGGAGGAGGAGGAGGCGGAGGCGGAAGCGGAGGCGGAGGATGAAGAGGAGGAGGAAGAAGAAGAAAGACAAAAAGACGAACAAGAAGAAGAAGAAGAGGAGGAGGAGAGGAGGTGGAGCAGGAAGAGGAGGAGGAGGAGGAGGAGGAAGAGGAGGAGGAGGAGGCAGAGGAGGAGGAAGAGGAGGAGGAGGAGGACAAGGAGGAGACGGAGCAGGAGGAGAAGGAGCCAGCGCGGGGAGCAACCCTGAGCTCTCTCGGGCTCTGAGCCCCGCCAGAGACCCTCTGAGGCAAGCCCTGGGCGACCTTGTGCAGGCCGGCCAGGGGATGGTGGTGCGCCACAGAGCCCCGGCTGAAGACTTTCGACGGCCTAGACTTGTAAGTGGCTGATGGGGCAGAAACGGTCATCGTGTTAAAACCATCAAAGTTCGGAAACAGTTCAAGACCAATGTCGGCCCTAGACCTAGGTCCTAGACTCTGGCACCCTCAGTCGGGCCACCACGGCCGTGTTGCAGGATCTGCAGGACCATCGCTCATCCAGTCGGGTGACAAAGTCGCGCGGTCCATGGCATGATGTTTATCCTTGACTTGCCCAGGCAGGCTGGGCTCATCACTCGGCTGGCATTTTACAGATGAGAGACGGGTGCCTCACTAGCCTGACCGAGCAGTCGCCGAGCAGGATCGCCAGGTTTTTGGAGAGGGACCTTCAGGAGGCCCATTTGGTTCGTTCGGTGAACCAGCTTTTGGCAGGCAAGGCTTCGGAGGGGCGAAGGTTGTTCGCGACAAAGTGGATCTGGGCTAAGGGGGGTGTTAAGATCCACCACAGCTCTAAGATGCCCGATGACCTGAATCAGCTGTTCCGCCTCGTCTTCACTGACGCCTGCCCTACAGCTGCTAGGCTACATTCTTGGGGCTACAGGATGGAGCCCCTCTGCCAGTACTGCCGCCAGCGCGGCACAGTTTGGCATCGAGTTCGGTGCTGCCCGCATTTTGCAGATCAGCGTGCTGAGATGCTAGAGCCTGAGGGGATCGAGGCTGCGCTCGAGGCCGGCCCCGAGTCACTTTTCTACAATAAGTTCTGGTGGGCTGCACGGCCCATCGCCAAGGCTGTGCCATTCAAAGAAGAATGCCCGCAGTACATGGACGACGAGTGCAACAACTGTGCCCTATTCGTGTTTCCGGGGTGCAACAGGCTTTTCGTGGATGTTTCTGTTTTCATCCTGCGTGCGACGTCATGGCCCGCGCGGGCTGGGGCGTAGCTAAGAGCGGCACAGAGGGCCAGTTAATCTCGGGCATCTTCGGGGGCGTTCCTGGATACGGGTGTTATAAGCAGATGGCGTCCCTAGGAGAACACCGTGGGCTCCTCATGACATTCAATGTTGCGGAGTGGACCTTCGACCAGCACGTTAACATCATGGTTGGCTGCGCGACCCAGAAAAAGGACATTGGTTGGATGGCCCTCTTGGGGCGGCAAATCGGTATGTGGCGAACACTGGAGGCACATCAGACCTATCCCTGTCCGACACGCCGTGAGCAAGGTCAAGGCACACCGCTCAGAGGATGCTGCCGAGAGCGAGGCCGAGAATATTCTTATCCGAGGCAATGCATGTGCCGATTGCTTACACAGCGTGGTGCCAAGCATAATCAAGTTAACCCGAACGATTTGGAAATTACCCAGCGGGCCCGCGGTGTGTTAAAAGCTGTTGTTTGGGCGCCCGTATGTTGGCCCTCTGGCCCAAAGCGCGTGAGCTCTTCGGGGAGCTCGACAAGGTCCTCAGGGCCCTCCGCCCCCTTCGACCTCACGATAGCATTCTCACATGGGACGGTACCCGCTGGATATGTGTGCGCTGTGCCACGTGTTCCTGTCGGCCTGCCAAGCCCGTTGGGCCTTGCGGGATCTTTCCCCCCCTCGATGGAGGCTCTGCTGAGCTTTATATCGGCCCCCGCCCGCCCATGGCTCGGCGCGATCACTCTGAAGCACAGCTCGCTTGTCCCGTTTTGTAGTAGATGCGGAAGTCATGTGCAAGGTAAAAGAGCACCGCCCGCCTCCTCGGCCCCCTGTGCCACCCTCAAGCCTAGGCAGCTCGCCCTCCTGCGTAGTCGCATGCTGCCCTGGCCCCGTGGGGTAGTCTTTGCACACCCTGGCCCTTTGCTGGGGCAGCGGAGTGATGGCGGCCTTAGCGTTCCGCCTCTCTTTGCTCTTTATTTGTCTGGTCGCTCGCTCATCGAATGGGTTCGGTCGCGTCGGTCGCAGCTGCAAAAGGAGGAGGAAGGGAGGGAGGGCGGGAGGAAAAAAGGAAGGAAGGAAGGGAGGAAGGGAGGGAAGAAGGAGGAGGAGTAAGGAAGGTACGGAGGGTGGGAGGGACGAAGGGACGAAGGGACGAAGGGAGGAGGGAGGAGGGAGGAGGGAACAGGGAGGAGGGAGGAGGAAGGAGGGAGGAGGAAGGAGGGAGGAGGGAGAAGGTGGAGGAGGCAAAGGAGGAGAAGGAGCAGGAGGAGGTGGAGCACGGCGCCGCGGATCCAAACCGAGGACCTGACCCACGAAAGGGTCCGACAAATAGCACAGTCGACGTTGTGGGAACGCCCGAGAGGGAAGTTTGGGCCGCCCGGACCACCCGCGTGGGCACCCCAAGGGGGGTCTTTGGGGAAGGAGGGGGAGGAGGAGGAGGTGGAGGAGGAGGAGGAGGAGGAGGAAAACGAGGAGGAGGAGGAGGAGGAGGAGGAAAACGAGGAGGAGGAAAACGAGGAGGAGGAGGAGGAGGAGGAGGAGGAGGAGGAGGAGGAGGAGGAGGAAGAGGAGGAGGAGCCCCCTCCCCCAAAAACCCCCTTCGGAACCCGCGCCCTGCGGCCTCGGCGCTTCCGCGCGGGCGCCACGCGTCGCCGCGGACGCCCGGCCACCGTGAGCGTGTCGGCGCGCGGCCCCCCTGCAGAGTCGGGGGTGCACAGACCTCCTCCTCCTCCTCCTCCCTCCTCCTCCTCCTCTCCTCCTCCTCCTCCCTCCTCCTGCTCCTCCTCCTCTTCCTGCTCCTCCTCCTCCTCCTCCTCCTCCTCCTCCTCCTCCTCCTCCTCCTCCTACCAGGACACGTCGATTAGCGAATTGGCCGTTTTCGGTTCGCGAGAGGGCTTCGCGGCCGTCGTTTTTGCGGGTCCAGGTCCGTCGGTTTCGGCCCCGGGCCGTGTGCACTCAAGGGAGGTTTACGAAAGGGGGGTTTGTCCACCGCCGACAGGAGGTTTCCCGCGCACCTCTCCGGGGGGCAGCTTCCCAACCCAGCCTGTCTTGGAATCACAGACAGGCCGCAGCAGCGCGCCGTTCGCACTCGCTCGCGTTGAATGTCGCGGCGTTGTCGTTGGCTGACCGTCGGGCAGGTTCACAATGCCCTGGCCCTTGGGCTCAGCGCGTCGCACCGCTAGTTCTGGCCCTCCGGGTTTCCCGCGCACTTCTCCGGGGGACAGCTTCCCAACCCGGCCTGTTTTGGAATCAAAATCGGGGGCCCCCACGCGGTGTGGTGACCACACCGTGCAGAGAGTCGGTGGGGATTCGGGGTCCTCTCACGGTTTTGGGGCTCGGGTCGTTCTCCGAGGACGTCTCGGGCGACTGGGGCCTGCGAGGTCCCAAGACCGTGCGCTGACGGGCCGTGCGGTGAGGTCTTGGAGGATTTCGAGGTCACCGCACGGTCTGTCACCGCACCGTTTCGGGACTCCAAACAAAAACAGGCCGCAGCAGCGCGCCGTTCGCATTCGTTCGCGTTGAATGTCGCGGCGTTGTCGTTGGCTGACCGTCGGGCAGTTTCCGCTCTCAGTTCGCGCGTCGTTTGACGGTACCATTAGTCTAAAGTTCCTCATGTGGGGGGCGGGGGGCGTTTTTCATGTGTTCATTGATGGCCCTCCAGGGGCCCGCTGGGCAGGCCCAGGACCTCTGCTGTCGGGTTTTGGCCGACACTGCGTTGTGGACTGTGGACCACACGAGTGGGCTACACGAGCGACTCGCAGAGCTCCCCTACATGACCCGTAGAGCTTCTTTCAGGGAAGCCCGTAGAATTCTGGAGCACCGGCAGGGCGAATCGCACCAGAGCTTTACATAACGCTCTCAGAGCTGTCTGGAGCGATGTGGAACGTCCGCGGCGCCCGACACGTCTTTCAGAGCCGACGGATCTCGGAGACCCCCGATTGGCCCCAGTCTGATGGTGCCCCACCCCTGGTTGCGTCGTAGGGCCCGATACCCAAATATTCGAAGAAAAACATTGGGACTTACCCGAATTTCGTTTTGTGAGTACCGGGGCCTGGCGAAGGCCCGCATGGTCTGGGCCGTCGTCCGCTTTGGCCCATCAGGCCCCCGTACAAGAGAATTTTGATAAACCAGGACAATGGCGCGCCCGATAAAGCTGCAGCCTTGGATCGAAGAGTTCTCCATTCTTCGTTCTCTCCAGGTGGGCGACGGAATGAAACGGCGTCGTGCGCCGACATTCGCGCGCAAGCTGCCCGCGAAAGAGCTCGCGTAAGCGCCCTCTCCTCCACGCGTGCGCCACGCTGGCGGCACACGTAAGCCACGGCGTGCGGTCGTTATGCCATCACGCGTCAGACCTTTTTATTTCCATCGCCCAGGTGGATCTGTCAAAATCCTGGTTCACAGTGCCCTGGTCCTTGGGCCCAGCGCGTCGCGCCGCTGGTTCTGGCCCTCCACGCTGCGGCGCGACCTGCATCCACGCCTCATCCCCCCAGGAGGGAGGGAGGGAGGGAGGGAGGGAGGGAGGGAGGGAGGGAGGGTCAACGCCACGAGCATCTCCCAGCTCCCCGCGGAGCGGAGCGACGCGCCGCTTGCTCGCAGGGCATACGGTACAGCGTGTCGCCGGGGCCGCCGCCGCCGCCGCCGCGACACGCTGAGCAGAAGCTCCCGCCGACCGTGGCGGGCCCTGGGCCTCACTGCTCAGGAGGGGAAAAAAGCACAGACACAATCCATCGCCGATTCCCCAGAAAACATCGGAAGATATGGGATAAAGGGGGGGGGAGGCAAGAACCCCGAAAATATCAGAAAATATAAGGGGCTCCTGCCATTCGTGCGTACTTCTTGGTGTGTCCCAGGGCCCCTCCAACTGCGGGCCCGCCTGCGGGCCGCGAGACCGCCGGGGCCCCGCGAGGCCGCGCGGGCGGAGCCCGCCGCGGAGTCGGCCGGCAGCGAGGCGCACGGGCTCCCCGAGCGCCAGGCCGGCGCCACGTCTCTCTCTCGGCGACTGCAGAGCGGCGGCGAGCGAGGGGGGGAGGTCTCGGGCTCGAGGCTCGCGGTGTTCGGGCGCGAGGAGGGGGAGGAGGAGGAGGAGGAGGAGGAGGAGGAGGAGGAGGAGGAGGAGGAGGAGGAGGAGGAGGATGGGGGAAGAGGAGGAGGAGTTGGAGGAGGAAGAGGAGGAGGAGGAGGAGGAAGAGGAGGAGGAGGTTTTCCAGTCTCGGGATGCTTGCCAGCAGCTGCGCCTCGCCGAGGGCGTTCCGGGGGTGCCCGGATCGTCCCGAACGCCCGCCGGGGACCCGAGTGGGGACCCCAAAAGACCGGATTGGGCGGCGAGCGAGGGGGGAAGTGAGAAGGAGAGGGCCCTCTCACAAGGCGGCGGGGCTTCTCAGAAGCCCTCGGGCCTTCTGAGCAGTTCTTTGTATGCCTTCGGGCAAGGCTTAGGACAACTTTCGGAAGGCCCCAAAACTTCCCTGCCTTCTGAGAAGACTCGCCCCTTCTCACTTCCCCCCAGGCTCGAGCCGAACAGAGGGTGTGGTCACAAAGGGTGTGGTTACGCTGGGGCGTTCAGCCACGCGCAGAAGGGGGGTAGGGCAAGCTAGGTGCGCTCGCGTCATATCTGACGTCCTAATTACCCCTCCCTCCCATCCCTCACCATGGCGTAGATCTCCTCTCTATTCGCACAGTCGGATGTCGTAGCAGCGTATAGCATTATGTGGCATACCATGGTGTTGAAGATCAACGCGTGGCCTGACATAGCACGGCATGGCGATGCCCCAAAGGGGGGGGGTTCTGCGGCCCAAAAATTCAACGAACCGACACCGAATATGTAATCACTTCCGATGGTTGTTTCAGGGGGCATCTATTGGATTTGGGGGCATATTTGGCAGGACCGAAAACCATGCCGCGGCATGGCGCGGGAAATAACAACGCCAGCGCTGCAGCGGGAGCACGATTCGGAACGAGCGGAAGCGCGGAAATGAGGTCAGCGCTGCAGCGGGAACACGATTCGGAACGAGCGGTAGCCCGTAAATGAGGCCAGCGCAGCGAGAGCAGCATTTTGAAAAAAAAGCGAAAACCCAACTCCCCGTAATCCTGTGTGTAAAAGACCAGTACGCGGAGGGGGGCGGGCCATTTCTCGGACGCCACCAGGGGAGAGAGGAGATCAGTATCCATATTGTTTAATTGTGGAGGGGGAAAGGCTTCTCAGAAGCAGCATTGCTTCTTAGAAGGCGCAGGCCTTGTCTGCAGGTGTAGGGCCAGCGCCTCCTACGAAGCAGTTTTCTTCTAAGAAGCCTTCCCCCCTCCCCCTACCCAAATGTGCGCGCTGCCAATACAAAGGGTGCGGTTACGCTGGGGTGTGGTTTGTGATCTGCGTCGTCGGGGTTTGGGGGGCACTTGGGGCTTGGGGGGCACCACGTTGCCCTCGTCGGCCTCCTCGGGGCGCGGCGGAGAACTCCGTCGAGGTCCTCGCCCGCCCCCCAGGGTACGGGTCGCAAGCCGCACCCTTCGCAAGCCACATCCCTCGGAGTCGCCGACTCTCTCAGGGGCAACGTTAGGGGGTCCCTGAGATCTGGGTGTTGCAGTTTTGTCCAGCCTGGGCGCTTTCGCCCGGAGGCGGGCCCCGGGGCCATCGCAGATCGATGCGGAGGGACAGGCGCAGCAGAAAGGTGGGTCTGGGACTCCAGTCGTAATTTCTCGCTCTCTCTCAATGTTCGAGGTCGGCTCGTGTCCTATCTTTGCGGGTCGGATCTCGGGGATGCTCGAAGTGGGAGGTTTTCATGCGTTTTCGTCGGGTCTCGGCGGCTGTCCGGCCTCAGGGTGCTCCCCAGCAGCCGCGCTTCGCCGAGAGCGTGCGGGGGGGACCTGGAGCCGTTCGACCTGCCGATGGAGAGCCGAGTTGTGACCCGAGAGCCGAAGGGCAGCGCCATGAGTGACGTGTGCAAGCTACGTAATTCAAGCTACGTAGTTCAATCTACGTGGTGCAACATACAAAGACGTGTGTATGCACATACACACACATACAAGAACATGCTTTCATGTAGCGCTTGCTTGTTTCTCACGGGGGTAGGCTCCAAGGGGGGGACGCATCGCCCACACAGGGCCCCCTCATCGCCCATGAGGGGCCCGGAGGCGCGCCCCGCCCAGGAGCCTTCGGGCCCGCTGCCCGTGGCGCATCGCCGATCTGTCGGCGACGTGTCGCCGATTGTACGGGCGGATGGATTGCAAAAAAACAAAGGATTGCAAAAAAAACCCAGGATTGCTGCAAAAAAACATTTTTTTTTGCAATCCTTCGTCCAGTTTTTTTGCAATCCTTCGGTTTTTTTTGCAATCCTTCGTTTTTTTGCAATCCCCCCCCGAGCCTGCCCCCTCGGGAGCGGTCGGCCGGGGCCGCCCTCGGCCGGCCTCCCCTCCGGCCCCTCGCGTCGTGAGGCAGGGCCGCGGCGGCGGATGTTTGCAGACTGTCCCTCCTCCTCCTCCTCCTCCTCTCCTCCTCCTCCTCCCTCCTCCTCCTCCTCCTCCCTCCTCCTCCTCCTCCTCCTCCTCCTCCTCCTCCTCCTCCCCCCCCTCCTCCTGCGCCAGGGCTCGCCTTTCCAGTGGCTGCCGGGGTTCTCGCTGGTGCTCGGAGCTTTCTGCTCGCCTCGGGATGTCTTCCAGCAGCTGTGCCTACCGAGGGCGTCCCAGGGGTGCCCAGCTCCAGCCTCACCAGGCTTTTGCCCTGCCTAGGCTCTGCCTAGAAGGGTTCTTATTCCCTACCTAGGCTCTGCCTAGAAGGGTTCTTACTCTCTTAGCTTAAAGGGGCCGGGCAGTGGAAATCGCCCCGGGCGGTTCCCCCAGTCCCCGTTCCGCGGTTCCCCCCAGTCCCCTGGGAGCTTTAGCTTTAGCTTTAGCTTTAGCTTAGCTTTAGCTTAGCTGTAGCTTAGCTTTAGCTTAGCGTTTCGCTTAGCTTTTCGCTTAGCGTTTAGCTTAGCTTTAGCTTAGCTTTAGCTTAGCTTGAGCTTAGCTGTAGCTTAGATTTAGCTTAGCTTTAGCTTAGCTTTAGCTTAGCTTTAGCTTAGCTTTAGCTTGGCTTTAGCTTAGCTGTAGCTTAGCTTTAGCTTAGCTGTTGCTCAGCTTTAGCTTAGCTTTAGCTTAGCGTTACTGTTACTACTAATGCTGCTTTCCTAGGGGTTCCAACTCCTGGGTAGGGTCGCACTGGGATAATTTTCTTAGCTTAAAGGGGCCGGGCAGTGGAAACCGCCCTGGGCGGTTCCCCCAGTCCCCTGGGAGCCAAGCAAAAGCAACAGCAAAGGTAAAAGCAAACGCGCGGTCACCCCACTTGCGCTCCCTGGGTGCCAAGCAAAAGCGAAAGCAAATGAAGAATTGAAGGCAAAAGCGAATGCAAAGCAAAAGCATAGCATAGTATAGCATAGCATAGCATAGCGCAACATAGCATAGCGCAGCATAGCATAGCGCAGCATAGCATAGCATAGCATAACCTAGCCCAGCCTAGCTTAGCCCAGCATAGCATTGCGCAGCATAGCATAGCATAGCATAGCATAGCATAGCATAGCATATCGTAGCATAGCATAGCGCAGCACAGCATCCACTAGCATAGCAGAGCAGAGCAGAGCAGAGCAGAGCATAGCACAGCATAGCAGCGTGCTTCTGCTGCTGCTTCACTTACGGCGTGGCGTCGGCGGTTCTGGCGCTACTACTACTACTACTACTACTACTACTACTACTACTACTACTACTACTACTACTACTACTACTACTACTACTACTACTACTACTACTACTACTACTACTACTACTACTACTACTACTACTACTACTACTACTACTACTACTACTTACTACTACTACTACTACTACTACTACTACTACTACTACTACTACTACTACTACTACTACTACTACTACTACTACTACTACTACTACTACTACTACTACTACTACTACTACTACTACTACTACTACTACTATACTACTACTACTACTACTACTACTACTACTACTACTACTACTACTATTACTACTACTACTACTACTACTACTACTACTACTACTACTACTACTACTACTACTACTATTATTATTATTACTACTACTACTACTACTACAACTACTACTGCTACCACCACCACCACCACCACCACCACCACCACTACTACTACTACTACTGCTACTACTACTACTACTACTACTACTGCTACTACTACTACTACTACTACTACTACTACTACTACTACTACTACTCTACTAATGTTGCTTTCCTAGGGGCTCCAACTCCTTGGTAGGGTCGCACTGGGATAATTTCGGGCTCTGGGACCGTCAAAAAACCTACGGCTCGTCTACCCCATCACCATTGGACCGCCCTCTTTCCAGACATCCGACGTCCAGACTTCCGACGTCGTATCCCACCAGCCCTCTGGGCGCAAGTGGTCTAGGGCCTAGGGCGTCTCCTTTTTCAACCTCATTCCTTTCCCTGCTTGGGAGGTTTACCTCCCCCCTCCATGCGTTTGGACGGGGGGGGGGCGCGACCCATAGCAGCGTCCAAGATGGCCCAAGATGGCTCCAAGAGGGCCTCAGAGAGCGCAAGATGGCCTCCAAGATGGCCCAAGATAGCGGTAGATGGGTCAAAGCCTCCGACACACGTCCAAGAGGCTCCAGGACAGCCCCAAGACGGTTTCAAGTGCTGTCCGAGGCCTCCCAGGACCCCCCCTTTAAATCCGAAGGAAAACCAATGTTGTTTTGCCTTCTCGTTTTTTCGCCTCCGATGGGCTCTTGAGGCCTCAAGATGGCCCCAAGACGGCCCAAGATAGCCCCCAGAGGGGTCCAAGAGGGCCCCAAGACGGCCCCAAGAGCGCCCAAGAGCGCTCCAAGAGCGGCCCAAGAGGGCCCCAAGACGGTATTTTTGAGCCTCCCAGGGGGGGACAGGAATTAAGGATCCCCGTCCTTTTTAGCGATAGGGTCCAAGACGGCCCCACGAGGCCCCTCAGGCACTCCAAAAGAGCCCCAAGAAGGCCCCCAGACCCCCCCAAAGAGCCCCAAGTCCCAAGAGGGCCCCAAGACGCTCCAAAAGAGCCCCAAGAAGGCCCTAAGAGGACCTCAAGAGAGCCCGAAGAAAGAGCCCCAGGAGGCCCCAAGAGGGGCCCAATAGAATCCCAAGAGAGCCCCACAATGCCTCCAAGTTTCGGAACGCACGCGAGTTTAAGATACAAATCAGTGCAAGAGCTATTACGAGTCATCGAAACACCCCTCACCCTTCGTCGAAGCGCCATCGTAGCCTGCACCGATTTCCATCTTCAGCTTCAATGCGGGAAGCTATCCGTGATCATTGCTTTCCCGAAGACGGTTGCGCGACTGCATGCGTCCTGCCGTTCCTGATTCACCAACTCCCCTGCTGATCGTTTCTGGATGGGCTGGTGGGGATACTTTTTTTGGTCGCGGGCGGACGCGGAAACGCAGTCGCCGAAGGAGAGGTCCGGGACACGGGCCCGCTAAACTGGCTGCGCGCGAGCCGAGAGCGAAGCGGCCGGGCCACCGCTCAGAAGCAGCCGCTGGTGGGGCTGCAGCTGAAGGGAAGCTGACTGAGCTGCCGCCTGAAGGCCAGGGTAGCAGATGCAACATGCAGGAGAATGGCAGCAAACCGCCAGAGTGGAATTAAGTCCTGAGCGCCAGGAGAGCATGATCGGCACTGCATCTGCAGACCACGCAACTAACCGGCTGGTGGGGATACGCGAAGCGTCAAGAATTCGTATGTGTGCGACGCCCCCTGCAATCATGATTCTTTCTTGGGGACTGTTTTCACCACTAATGGTTCATGGATGGCCTCGACCACCTCTGAAACGCCATGCTCCCAGACCCTCGAAGCCGTATTTTCACACGGGCCCACCCCGAGTGTCCCGCCTCATTTCCCAGGGACCAGCCTCTGCAACCAGGAGAGTCGGTCAAGAGTCCTGGGGCCCGTGAGCGGCCCCCCGAGAGCGCGAAGGGCGACCGGGAGCGGCTCAAACAGTCTGTGGGGGAAAAAAAAGCACACACACACACACACACACACACACACTGTGAGAAAAAAACACTGTGGGGAAAAAACATACATGTGGGAACAAAACATACAACACGTGGGGACAAAAAACACGTCTGTGGGAAAAAGCATACGTGTGTGTGTGTTTTCACACACGTGTGTGTTTGTGTGTGTGAGTGTGTGTGTGTGTGTGCGAGTGTGTTTTCCAACGTTTTTTTCCCACTGCGTGTTTTTTCCCACAGCAGGCACGCCAAAGAAGAAGCCGGCCTGCCAGCAGGTGCCCCACGGAAGTTCCTTGTCCCCCGACCAAGGGGGGCCACAGGAGCTCTGGGGCACCCCATGGCCTCCTGAGATCGATGTGCCCCAAGATGTTTCGTGGCAAGATTTATTGCGGTGGGGGCGTTCGTCAAGGAACGTGCCCAGGAGGCTGCAGACCCTGGAGGATTCCTTCTCTCTGATGAGGGCGGCGGCCAATCCACGATTGGCTTTCCACTGGCATCCTGGTCCGGACCCTGGATTCCAAATCGAATGTTTCCTTATCCAATGCCATCACCCTATCGGATGCGCCTCGTGCCTGCAATTCAAGACGCTTCAGGCCTGGGTCCCGGGCTCCTCCTCCTCCTGCCAGGTCGACGAGGCGGACACGATGATGCGGCAGACGATGGGCCAGCTCCTGAAGGAGATGCAGCAGGACCTCGGCGACATGCTGGGTCCCGGCGAGGCCAGCTGCGAGGCCACCACGGCCGAGGCCGGGCTGTCTTTTCTCTGTCCCGAGCAGGGTCGCTGGCGCTGCGCTCCAGACCCGCAGATGCTACAAAGAGCAAGCTGAAGCGGTCAGCGAGTTCATTTGCGAGGTTGAGGGTTCCGTAGTCATGTTGGCTCAAGCATGTCTGGCCCATGCGAAGCGCATTCGAAGCCAAACCAGCGCCCCGGCTAGGGATAAGCCTGCTGCAGTGTGTCGCGCGATGTTCGCGGTGTTCGCCCTCGTGGTCACCAGCCACGGCTGCGTCGCCGAGAGCACGAGTTGCTTTGAGAGCTTGGATCTCTCCGCAGGCAAGAGCGGGTTCTGGCCCCCGAGCCAGCGCAAGAACATCACCACAGAGGGAGGTCAGAGCATGCCCCTCGGCCTCACAAATCCCCTGCCCAGGTATTCGACAACGTCATGCGAATCATCGCGGAGGAGGTCATCGGCTACAGTGCGTGGGTCGCCGAGGCCGATGTGGGCTCGTCCAGTTAGGCGGCGTACGCCCTTGGAGGCTGCCTCGATCTCAAACTCAGCTGGAGCTGCTGTGATGCCCCAGGCAGTTGTTGTGAGTTATTACACATGTAAGCAACATATAAAAGAAGAGCGCATGCTACATGTTGGTTAAGGGGCACGTTAAACGTATGATATACATACACTTATCGTACGTATCAACCTAGTTATTAAGTTGCTTAAGTTGACATGGTTGCACGCTGTCTGCGATTTTTGGTGCGATTTGATATTTGTGTTTGGTGCAGGTTTGACAGTTGTTGCTGTTTTTGTTTGTTTTTTTTGTTTTTTTTGCCGTTTTGCTCGGGATTGACGTTTCAATGGTTTACCGTTTCGTTTTAGTGGAAGGGTTCCCTCGTCGTCCTCATCCTCCCCCACCCCTCCGAACACTCGTCCCACTCCTTGTTTCGGCGGATCAACCGCCTTGTCCCCAGCCCCCCCCCGCCCCGCCCCCCCTCCGCTTTTCCCATCATAACTCGGCGGATCAACCGCTTCCCCCCCTCCCCCCCTCCCCCCGCCACCTCTTCTTGTCTACCTCGATCTCCTTCGGCGGATCAGCCGCCACCTTCTTCACCCTCTGTTCCTCCAATTTCTGCGTCGGCGGATCAACCGCCTCATCCGTCTCCTCCCTCTTTCGGCGGATCAACTGCCCCCTTCATCCACCCCCTCTTCCTATCTCTTCCTCCTATTTCTTCTTCGGCGGATCAACCGCCTCCTTCGTTTCTTCCGTCATCGGCGGATCAACCGCTTCCTCCTCTCCCCCATTCCTTCGACTCTTGTGATGAGGAGGAGGAAGAACATGTCGACGCAGCCGTTTTTGGCCCACGCCTGCGGCCGCCTGCTGCCCCCCCCCCTTTCGGCCGCGCGTCGGCCGTCCCCGCTTGCTGCCCCTGAGCTCGATGGCGCTCCAACGGGAGCTCCTTCAGCGCGCGGAGGGGGTGCAGGAGCTGCTGCGCGCTGCCTCGGCCCAAGGCGAGCCAGCGTGGAAGCAGACGTCGGGTGCGCAAGCGGCTCGGTTGGTGGAGCTGGTCGGTTTGGTACGCCCCCAGGGCCAGCTTCTCATCCGCCTCGTGGGGCTGGTGCAACGCAGCAGCTTCTGTCCCGCCGACGCCCAGCAGCTGGAAGCAGCCTTTGCAGCGGCCGCCACGAGCAAGAGCAGCGGGACGTGGAAGGCGCAGGACTGCACGCACTTCCCCTACCACTTGAGTGCGGAGGTGTGGGCCGCAGTCATCTCGTCCAGCGGGGACGCGTTGCAGAAGGCTCGCACAGTGCTCACCTTCCTCGTGCTGCTGGGCGTGAAGAATTGTTCTGAGGGCACCCACGCGTACGTGACAGCCCTGGTGTTGATCGCGGTGGAAGGTGCCCCGAGGGCCCGCGCGATGCCCGTCCACTTTCTGAGGGAGACGTTTAAGCAGGTGAAGCAGATGTGGAAGGGGATGTGCAAGGCAGAGCCCCTTGAGATGGTGCCTTCGCTTCGAGCGGACCCCCGTGAGTTCCGAGCCATGCGCCCCGCCACGTGGAATGCTGCGTTCGGCGACGGGCTTCCTGCCGCCATCCAGGTTTCGTTCGCGGACGTCACTGCCGTGGCTCATTCATTCAAGCCCTGGCGGGACAGGGGCGCGAGCTCGATGCCAGATGCGTCGGAGGCAGGCGTGTTGGGTAAGATTTTGCATGCGCTCGCAGGGCAGGCGCACTCGCAGGAGAGACTCTCAAATGGCGCTACGTTGGCGATGACTGGGGGTAGGCAGCAGCGCAGCCTCCTTGGCCTGCAGGCGGCGGCGGCCAGCGTGGAGCAGCATGCGGTGGCGGACTTCCAGCAGCGGCAGCAGGATCACCGCCAGGATCTGCAGTTGCAGATTAAGCAGCTCCAGGAGCAGCTGCGCAAGCAGCAGCAGCAGCAACCGCAGCAGCCGCAGCCCCTCGAGGATGGCGTTCCGGATGCGGTGGCGACGGGCGCGGCCGCAAAGGGCGGGATGGCCGTCGAAGATGCGGCCATTCACGTGGCGGCTGCCATGTCGAAGGAGAAGGAGGCCAGGACCGCCAAGAAACGCCCAGCAGCAGCCCCGTCCGCCCCGAAGGCGGCCAAGGCGGCCAAGACGTCCGCGGCGGCCACGACGTCCAAGACGTCCTGGGTCAGCGTCGAGGGGGCTCGTTCCCAGTGCGTCGGGCACTATGGCAAAGGTCCTGGCTCGACCAAGACGTTCAAGTGGGGCGATGGCGTCGCGAAGGAGCAGTCCAAGGCAGCCGCCGAGAAGTGGCTGAAGCAGCGGGCGAAAGCCGACAAGTGACCAGGAGGCTGAAGGCCGTCGCTGGCGCGCGGCGAAGGCTCGCGGGTGAGCCTGCACAGCGCTTTCGCAGTTTAGTTTTGTTCTGATTGGGAGAGATTACGCATCTCTCCTCGACTTGTAGATTCGATCTGATGGGGGTCGCGCGCTAGCCCCTGCCAGCGCGCAGGGCAATCCACGGCGCTGGCGCGAAGATGGCGCTGACCATGCATGCTGTATCGTGTGGTGCTCCTTTCTCATCCCCTCCTTTTCGGCGGATCAGCCGCCGACGCGGGTAATCCGCCAACGCACGTGCATAATGTCGTTGATTTGCGCGCGCGTGCGCGCCGTCTTGCGCGCGTGCTTGGCTTCGTCGAAGGAGGTAGCACGATCGGCGCGATGCCCCGGGCGCGCCCCGATGGATTTGGGCGCCTCGGAGGATGGAGCTTGAATCGCGCGATTGTTCGGGTCGGCCCCGATTGATCAACGAGGCGTCTCGGAGGGCGGGGGGGGGGGGGGCGGCGGGGCGGGCGGGGGGGGGGGGGGGCGAGGGCGGACGGCGGAGGCACATGGGGGGGGAAGATGGGGAGGAGGTGGAGCAGGAAGGAGGCGGATGATGAGTTGCACGTTGATCGATATTTGCACGCGTGTTGCGCGTGGTTGGCATGTGTGATCGAGTCCGACTTGGTCTGATGTCTGTATTTGGGCGGGGGGGTGGCCTGCCTCCTGCGAATGCCGCTGTCAGTCGATGCGTCTATCTGCGGCCATATATCCTCAAGCAGGCGCTGCGAGCGCCCTGCGGGCGTCGGCTTTCCTCCCCCCCCCCGCTCCCAGCGGGCATCGCGATGGAGGCCCCGCGGTCTGCCTTCGAAAACCTCCAGAGCTTCGTCGAGGAGGCCGACGATGTGTTCGATCAAATGAGCGATGAAAGGAGGTATGTCATCGACTGCCTCAGGAAATCACTCGAGCGATCTGGGCACGTGGAGCCCGATGGTAACCCAGCGGATCCCGATGGTAGCCCAACGGAACCGAGTCCACTCCATGCTGGAGCCGACGACGCCGAGGCGCCCGTCGACATCGTCGAGGGGGCAGCTGCGATGGACGAGACTGCGCATGATAGCCGCGTTGACGAGCTGATGATCAAGGATCCCGAGTTCGCTCGGATTGCTCTGCTCATGGTGATGGACCCGCTGTCCATCGACTGGAACGACGCCGCCGTCGTCGATGTCGAGAGGAAGCTGATCTTCGAATTTCAGGTCCACAAGAAGTTCAAGGAGCGGGGCCCGCCTGGCCCAGGCGCGGGGGGGCCCGCTCAGTGGAGGGGCCAGCGCTGGAGGGAGAAGACAGGGCGGTGGGGCAACAGCGGTGACCAGCGCGTGCGGCTGGAGGCATTCCAGGCTAAATCCGGCAAGGCGAAAGGCAAGCAGGCGTTTCTGGAGGGCGCTGCCGATCGCGCACGCGCGAAGGCCGCTAAAGGCAAGGGCTCGGGCGAGGACGCCAGCAAGGGCAAGAGCAAGGCCGCGCCTCCACGCGTTGTGCCGCCGAAGACCCAGGCCGCGCCTGTCGCGGTGCCGCCCGAGATACCCGCGCACCCCGATGGCAAGGGCGGTGGTGCCACGCACAGCATCACAAGGAACTTCCAGCTGGGCGCCATGAAGGCCAAGGGTTTCTACATCGACACCGTGATGGGCAAGGGCTCGGACAAGGGCGCCAAGGGCAAGAGCTCGGCCAAGGGCGCCAAGGGCGACAAGGGCAAGGACAAGGGCAAGGACTTCGATGGCGCCGCCAGCGGCGCTAGCACGAAGGGGGCGGACAAGGGGCTGGGCAAGGGCAAGGGCTTCGTCGCGCCCGTGCCCAAATACTCACGCCCAGCACCACGGACGCCATCGCTGACGCGCTCCTCGAAGAAGAGGGCGTTGCAAGTAGCTCGCGGTCTGTGATTGTCGAAGGAGGCGCGCCCCCGCTGCGCCCCTGGACAAACGCGCTCCTCCTTCCTCAGCGGCTCAACCGCTAATGGCTCCTCCTTCCTCGGCGGCTCAACCGCTACTGGCTCAATCTCAGCGGATGATCCGCCTCTGCGTCGCGCGTGCACTTGCACCGTGTTCGTAATCGCGTGTCGCGCGTGCGCGTGTGCAGATTTTGATTTCGGGTGTTCGCGGTTTTGTGTTGCTTCAGTATTTTTGAGCGTGCAGTTGCGAAGTTAGTCATATATTATTGCATGTTCTGCAACGT